CCCACCACAGTCGTGCCCACCACCAGAAGGCTGATCCCCGTAAAAGCCAGTGCTATCCTGTAAGAAGATGACACGTTAAAATACAAGTCCTTGCACTAAGCACAGAAATGAATGTGTACACATGAAAATGGACATCATAAAAACCACCCCCCCAAGATTGGATCAGAAACATAAGCAGGCCTGTCGGAACCAGATATCATTCTGATTCTAACCTGAGAGCGAACCATGCATGGTCCTGGCTTTCGGCTGACACCCTATCCCGGGCATCGGCCAGAAAGAGCAATGGAAAGTCCTCAAGCTGGCTGTTCTGCCCACAGGAACTGCTACCCTGCTGTCTTACCCTTCCCTTTGGCTTGAAACCCTGGCAGAAGAATAGCTTCTCTGTGAAGCAATAGAAGGTAGAGCCTGAAGGTACCAGCATCTGGAAAGACATCTCAAAGAAGCTGAGAGATCAATACTGCCTCTGTACCTGAGGCAAGCTTCAGGAAAAGATGAGCCATGCCCAGGAAGGAGTAGCCAGAAAGTACTTGATGTTCCTGGCCCTGTGCTTAGTTTGTATAGACAAGCAATCTGTCTTTAACAAACCTAACTATTTCTGTCTGATATGCAGAGAATCCAAGGGCCTTCAAAGGAGAATCACCAGTATGCCCTTCCAAGAGTCACATGCCCTGGCCAGCGACAGACTCATTCTATTTTCCTTTTTAAAACAGAAAAACAGCAGAGACAGGCAGGTAGGCACGCGTTGGGCTGAGGCACAGCAGCTCAAGCCTTGTGTGCCTACAAGCCCTGCCCTCACCTGAGCGGCAGAAGGAAGCAATATCGAATCAGCACTCCTAGCCCCCACAGGACAGTGAGCCGGAGGCTGATATACTGGAAGTTATAATTGGTTCTGCTCAGCAGGTTCCAGGACTCCAACTCCTCTGCTGAGAATCTCTTTGTCACCTCATCATCCATAATGGTCTCCATTCCTTTCCGGCAAAAGTAGAAAATGTCGGAGAGCTCAAACTCTGGAGTATTATCCAGAGCCTTACTACTGCCACTTCGACGGATTTCTTTGATCTCTTCTTCTAGTGAAGTGGGATCTTTTGCAATGATTCCTGCAAAAAAGTATGCTCCCATCAAGCAGCATGCTGGGAGAGCACAAAGAGACACACTCTGAGTACACATGCTATGTTTTATGTAGGGAAGAGTATGTGTGTAATTAAAGAGTATGTGTTCCCCACCGGGGAATCTCTTCAAATAACCTCCTAGGAGAAGGACCCAGAGCCAATCTCACCATTGGTGTAGGGCTTGTAAAGCTGGTGGTTCTTCTCCTTGGCTCCTCTCTCCATCCTCAGGGTGGCCCACTGTGGGGGTGGAGGACAAAACACAAGAGCAAGAATGAGACCCCTATTCCATAGTGAACACCTCCATCTCCCTGAAAGCTTCCGTTGCAGTCACCTGGGATCAGACTGTAGCCAAGAAGCACACATTCTAGAAGGAAATTCAAACCCTCTCTTCCTAGAGCAGCCTTCTCCCTTGATAACTAGGACAAAAGTCTCCTACTGTGGAGAGTTGGAAACTCAAGAAGTCTGGGTGGGTTGTTCAGGCCCAGCTCCTCACTTCCTAATTTTCTGTCTCTAGGTTACGTAAGGAACTCACTCTTGACAGTCCACAGATCTCATGACTCCTCCTGTATGGCCACATGGCCCTATTCACAAATAGCAAAATCAAGCATGCTGCAAACAAGTGCCTTCCACCAAACTACTCCAAGAAGGCAACACTTTTAGTTTTCAAGGATATAAAGGACTTAAATAATATATATGCTTGGTCTAGTAACAGGAGTAATCTTTTAACAGACTTCCACAACTTAACACAGAAAGGCCTGGTAGTGGCTTAATAGTGTTAAGGAAAAACAAAACAAAACAAAAAACAGTATATGGAGTTTAAAAAAAAAAAATCCAGGCCAGGCGAAGTGACTCATGCCTGTAATTCCAGCATTTTGGGAGGCCAATGTTGGAGGAATGCTTGAAGTCAGTCTAGACAACAGAGAGAGACCTCGCCTCTACAAAAAATTAGCCAGGCAAGATGGCATGTGACTGTTGGAGGCTATTCAAGAGGCTGAGCAGGATAAGACTGCTTGAGCCCAGGAGTTTGAGGCTGCAGTGGGTATGACTGCACCACTGCACTCCAGCTGGGCAACACGGTCAGATCCTATATCTAAAAAAAGAAAAAAGAATCCAGATTAAATTTCACTTCCCAAGTTTACGCTCACTTGTTATTCTCCTTGAGCAACTCATTCCAAGTCTCTGAGTCTTGGTCCCTTTACCCTACAAAAAGGCTGATACTACCTCAACCTTCTACTTCAAGGGATCACTTAAATGAGACAAATGTGACAAAACCTGGGAAACACAAAGCATTCTGTCCACGTTATTGCTAAAATACACAGACTCTGGAAGAGATCTAGGAAAAAAGGTTCTTCCTTCATTCAAATTCTTTTCACTGGAGTAGAAGAGCCAGAAGCTGGGTCTCCTCCACTATTAAACAAGGAGAGATAAAAACATGGGCTCACTTATTCCCTCTTGAAATATGTTATTACTGAAGAGAAAGCTATGTCCAAAGTATGTCAGAGAAACAACAGGGACATTTTAAAAGGTCTTTCCAACTTCTGCTCCCACAGTTAGGCAAGATGGAAAAGAATCCTATCATTCCATGACACAGCAAAATGCACACAGTCCAAAGCTCTTGATGTAGATTCTGCTGCCAGAGCCTGAAGGATAGGCAACACTGTGTTGTGTGGTCTAGCAAAGCCAAAAGCTGGACATGAGTTTAACCAGTGATCTGACCTCATCTGGAAATTTCTTAAAACTCCACTGTCTAGAAGAGTAGGCCTACAGAATCAACCTCTCAAAGAAAGTTTAAAGGCAAGAAAACTCATATAACTCATTTTCTGTATTTCAGATATCTGGCCAGTGATGTATTTTGGCTCTATGCATAATCTTTTCTAGAAAAAAAATGTTAGTATCATTCCTAAAATGGAGAAAAGTAAATTCCATCAAATTTCGTGAAACAAGAGAAGAGGTGAAAAAAGGCAAGAGCATTTGCAAAAAGCCCAGCACGCAGAGACACAGTCACTCAACCAGAATTTAGGATTTTACAATTCGTCCAGGTCTCTGTTTTCGCACTGCAAGAATAATCAAAATAATCACAGAACTTGGTTCTGTATCGACAATCTGATGTTTAGATAAGACTGCAACAGGCAGGGGAATGCATGATGTCTGGCCTCCGGAGGGTAAGAACTGATGCCTAAGGACCGTTCGCTATGCATAATCCAAGATGGTTGCAGGCTTCTGTCTTTCCTGGAAAGGGATCTGCTGTGTTTCTCCATCTCCTAGCTCTGTGGCAGCACCATCATAGACATTCCCTTGGTCTTCTGCTTTCTAAACTTCAGGAACATGACAAAATGCTTCTGTGTTTAGGAAAGAACTATTCAAAGTCACAAGAGCAGGGAAGAGGGGAGGACTGAACAGTTGCTTTCACCTAAAGGAAATAAAAATATCCCATCCCAAAATATACTTTGTTGACATATTTCAAAGGCTTGAAATACAAAAATAGTTGAAAAGCTGTCTTTTGTGAAAAGGACTTGCATCTGAAGTAAACAAGATAAGCAAACAGGCTTTCACTGAAGTACTCCTCAACCCCTTGTATGGATCTAGGAAAGATTGACTAGAGTGCTTGACATCTTCCGAAGTTCAAACAAACATTTACCATCTATTCTTTCTGAGAGCTGATACCTGTGAGATTTCACCTACACAACAAGACCACATATGCTAGCCAGGTAGCTTATTCTTTCCCTCTCATGAACTGTCTTGCCACCATAAGCTGATTTAGCGCCATAACCTGTTTGTGGCCATGCTCCAAGTCCCCATTCTTTCTGTAGCCTCAAGATGGTAGAAAAGTGTCACTTATATGGCTATTTCTTTGAGATCTTCATAAGACACCTAGTAGGTTAATAAATTTGTATGCCTTTTATTAATCTGCTTTTTGTCAGCTTATTTTTTAGCAAATTTTCCAAGGGTAAAGGCCCTTACATACCTAGCGAAGACAGGATGAAAGGATCTTTAGAAAAACACTATTTCTCTACACTACACTCTCACAGCACACTTGTGGCACCAGATGTGGGGGATTGTTCCCCACAGCAAGCAAATCCTTAGCAAACACTAGCTGGATGTTCTGAAATTCAATTCAATTCATTTCTGACGTGGTCCACCTGGGGGTAACATCAAGATCCCACAGGTTAAGGACTCAGTCCCACAGACTGCCCCACTTCAGATGCCAGTAAAGGCCTCAGATTATGACCTGTACTTCTGACCACTCAGCTATAAAACTGGGATTTCCACAACTGCCTCCTTGAGTTCCACAACTTGTAGGTATGGCTCACAGAACTCAGAGAAACACTTTACTTATGCTTACGAATTTCGTATAAAGGATACTGCTGAGGAAGTACCAGATAGAAAAGATGTATAGGGCAGGGCATGGGGGTGGGGTGCTGCCACATTGTTCTGTAGTGCCATACTCCCAGCACCCTACAGCCCCCCAAAACTCATCAAGTCTTGTCAAGTGTTTTTTACAAAGCAGAGGTTAGTGGGCGTGGCTGAAAGTTCTAACTGTCTAATCACTTGGCCTTTCTGGTGACCAGCCCCATCCTGTAGCTGTCCAGGGATCCTGATCTAAGTCACCTCACTAGCATAAACTCAGGAGTGATCAAGGGGACTCATTAGGAATAACAAGACACTCCTAACACTCAGGAAATCCCAAAGTTTTAGGAACTCTGTGCCAGGAACCAGAGGTAAAGATCAAGTATATTTTATACAATACACAGACCAATGCAAAACAGTGACATCCGCTAACTCTACAATTGACATCTCTGAGTTGTCACTTTAAAAAGTAGTTTTTGCCCAACGTGCGGTATTGCTGTGGCCAGTTCCCTCCCGGCCTGTGTTCCTGAACTCCCTGCTGCTATGAGCTTCCTTAAAAGTTTCCCGCCGCCCAGGCCGGCCGATGGCCTTCGGCAGCAGCAGCCAGATACCGAGGCTGTGCTGAACGGGAAGGGCTGGGCACCGGGACCCTCTACATCGCTGAGAGCCGCCTGTCTTGGTTAGATGGCTCTGGATTAGGATTCTCACTGGAATACCCCACTATTAGTTTACATGCTGTGTCCAGGGACCTAAACGCCTATCCACGAGAGCATTTGTATGTAATGGTGAATGCCAAATTCGGAGAAGAATCAAAAGAATCTGTTGCTGATGAACAAGAGGAAGACAGCGATGATGATGTTGAACCTATTACTGAATTTAGATTTGTGCCTAGTGATAAGTTAGCATTGGAGGCGCTGTTCACTGCCATGTGTGAATGCCAGGCCTTGCATCCAGATCCTGAGGATGAAGATTCAGATGAATATGATGGAGAAGAATATGATGTGGAAGCACATGAACAAGGACAAGGGGACATCCCTACATTTTATACCTATGAAGAAGGATTATCCCATTTAACAGCAGAAGGCCAAGCCACATTGGAGAGATTAGAAGGAATGCTTTCTCAATCTGTAAGCAGCCAGTATAATATGGCAGGGGTCAGGACAGGATTCAATAGGAGATTATGAAGATGGGATGGAGGTGGATACCACACCAACAGTTGCTGGACAGTTTGAGGATGCAGATGTTGATCACTGAAAATGTTGATCATTGCTTTAAGATTCTGCTGATAACTGTAGGAGAGAACTTGGTGCCTCTTCCACTCTGGAGTGGGGTTGATGACAGTCTTTTTCTTTCTCCAAAACTCATCTGAACCAGTTCTTTCTCGAGACAGACTATATTGAGACAAGTTGTCACCAGCAGAAGATACTATGACCTTTATTAA